GGTTCTCCCCGCGCCGGGGTTATGGGACAGGCTTTCAGTTCGCGGTGGAGAGAGTTGGAAAGAGCGGAGCTGGGGAGTGGGGACTCTCGGTTTCGGCTTAGAAATTGGCTGCTGGTGGCAATTAGCGACCGCGAGCTCCGCGGCCGCCCGTTCCCCTCCTCCTGCCTCTCTTGCCGTTTTCTCTGGCGTGTGTGTTGTGAGGGATGTACCTCGGTGGCCCGAAGCCCGCCGCATCTCGGCTTCCCGCTCGCCTCCTTGCGAAACAGCTCGCTTCCCGGTGCGGGGAGGCTGGGCCGCAGGTAGCCGCTCCGCTGGAGCCATGCTGAGGGGCTTGTATCCCGCAGGTTTCTTAGGAACTTTTTTTTTATTACTCCTGTGGTAAGTTATTTTCGTTAATGACTCAACTACTTGCCTTCTGGTGAAGATTACAGAGCCAGAAAGAAATGTTGGATGAGGTTCTCTGGGGCGTTTCCTCCATGTTGCTGGAGAAAGAGTAACGCTGACCCTCCTGAATTAAAAAGATGGGAGGAGGGAGAAACGAATCCCTTGCACAAGGTGGAAGCCTCGGCCTCTGAAGTTCAATTGCAGTGAATCAGTAAAGAGAAAATAGAAGTTTAAAATGGAGGCAGGGATCTGGGGCAATAGTTATGTAAAACACATCAGCCACTGCATGGTGCTGCTCTAACCCCAGCTCTGTAATTACTGCTGTGAGCAGCACACTTAGCAGAAATTAGTTTGGGTTTTCTTTGTGGCTTCCTGTGAACTTCTGAATGTGTTTTCAAGCCTTCACAGGAACATCTCCCCAAGATGGTTATCGTGTCCTGGGAGGATGAATCACTCAAACACCTGTCTGTCTCTGCTGTAGGTTACACTGCTGATAATGCCTGGAACCAGAGCAGAGGACTGCAGGGAGGGAGAATACTTACATGAAGGTCACTGCTGTGTATCTTGTCCAGCAGGTAAGACTTCAGGCAGTCATAGCTGATAACAGCCATGTTGGTTGTTTTTTCCCCATGGAGATGACTGCATCGCTGTTGTTTTTTACAGTGCATTCAGTGAAAGTGTAAGCCCAGTTGGAGCTGTGGTGGCTTCTTGGTGCTGTTAAGGCTGGGTTCTGTTTTGAAGTGAGAGCCCTTTGTGCAATAGGTGATGACTGGGAGAGGTGCTTTGGCAGCAAGCCAGGAAACCTCTGCCCACTGCTGAGGATGAAGTGTTCAAAGTTGGGTGGTGTTAGTTTTTTTTTTTTAAAAAAAAAACAACTTTAGCACAAAGAACAGGTCTAGGGGAATTCTGATATTTCTGTATCTGTAGGTAAAACTTTGGTTTGCCTTTGCTCTCCCCTCCTTGCTCAATGTGTGCAGAGTTAATAAGCTTTGTGCCAGGAAGCACCCTGCCCTTAGATGGTATTGAAGGGCTATCGGGTATACTTAGAGATAATTCAGACAAAGGAGAAGAGAGATTGTTACAAGAAATTCTCCCTGTGCCCACCGTGCCCCTTCAGAGGAAATGATGCTGGGTGACTCTGAGCTGCCACAGTGAGTCCTTGTCCCCGGTGTGTCCCAGCAGAGGCCTGGCTGGATGCCTCATTTGCCACCGCTTCTTGTCTAAGCGGCAAGCTGTGAATGTGCCTCCTGACCCTGCTGTGCTGCTCGGTTCACGTGGCACACCGCTTACTTGCGAGGAGGGGTTGAAATTTCACCAAGAATGGCTTTGTGTTCTAACATCCTGTTACAGTCTTCTGCCTGTTACATGATCCCTTGAGACGGCTGCCGCTGCCGGTTCTCCTCTTCCACAGGTACTTACGTTGCTCAGCACTGCAGTGCTCCGCATTTGAGAGGAAGATGTGCCCCTTGCACCGAAGGAGAGGGTTATACCGCTCATGAGAACGGCTTAGAAGAATGCTTGTTGTGCAGGCAGTGCAAAGATGGTACCAAGCACGATTTTGATGAAACCTTAACCCTTTTCCCCTTTTTTACTGTGGAAAGCCTGGTCCTCTGGTTTTCTGCATTTCTAATGACTGATAATATTGAACTTGCAGATAAATTGCCTTTGTGGCCTGAGTATAATTTTTGCACATTTGTAGAGAATCACAACTTTTATATTTACTTTGTAACTTATATTTTATTTTTAGATCAGATAACTTTGAGACCCTGTACTCTGACGCATGATACTGAATGCCAGTGCAAACAAGGGTATTTCTGCCCTGCCAAGGGCTGTGAAATATGTCAGAGATGCAGTACAGTGTAAGTTTGATAATATACGTGATTGTTTTCCTTCTAGGGAATGTTAGAGCTGTGGCCCAATCTGTGCCAGTACCTAACACACGTTATTAGGCTGTAAATAACTGCCCTGAGGCCAAATGGCATTATTCATGCATTTCAACTTCACATATTTTGACACCTAAAATTTAGACCTAGAAAGATGTGGATTTTGGTATTGTTGTGCTTGTTGCTTATGGCTGTAAGCTTATACTTTTTGTGTCTTCAGATTAGTATTTCCCCCTGTAGACACTTAAACGAGCTTTATAGAAGCCAGTCCAAAATTTTGGGAGGTAGAAACACCTGTTCTAACTGTGCATGAATAATGCATCTACTCTGTGGGCTTTTTTTCCCTTGCCAGTTAGAAGCTAACATACATGAGCTTTATCTGCTTTGCTTCTATTTAAACTTGTAGCATCATCTTGGGTTGTTTAAAAGTGTACTTCTAACAAAGTTATCTGTTTATACATGTTCTGTTCATGTCTCTAAGCTGTGCCTGAAAAAAAATCAGGCCTGGGCAGAGCTGCATATTGTTCTGGAAATGTTAATACAATCTTGTGTTGCCATCCACTTCAGGTGTCCAGAAGGGAAAGAAATTGTGCAGAATTGCAATGCTACTATGGACCTAGGATGTGGCTTACCCAGTCAAGGTCTGGTACACAAATACCACTCAGCTTGGTTTGTTGGATCTGTGGCTTCTGGCTACTAACACCAGAGCAATCTGTAAAACAGTGGTTTGAACTACTGTAGCATGTTTAAGAGCTGCTGTATTTTGGTCTGGGAACTACTTGCTAGAGACAAGTTCTCAAAGGGGTTGGAGTGAAAAACCATCTTAAATGTCACTCGGTGAAAAGCTACATGTATTCCCAGCGTTTTCAAAGTTGTTGAAAGTTATAGATAGTGCAAAGATTTCTTTCATGTTTCCCATGTCTGAGAAGCTGTGTATGGAGTGGCTGCTGGTAGATAGCTTCTGCCAGGCTGGAGAAAGAAGGAACTGACACTGCCAACGCTACAGCACCTGAAGCTTGCTGTCATCTTTTGCATACTTGTTTCCCCATTTTCTTAAATGTCTTTTCAGAAAGCGTTGTAGAATTTGTATTGCAGCTCTGTACAGAATCCCCTGCTGCCATTGAGATAGTGATGTGCAGTGCAAACTAGTACTTGCATGTTCAGGTGTGCTGATGGTCCCAGTGCCTTTTCTAGGATGAGGTAACTGGGTCATTGTACTAGTGCTGATCTTAGTCTGTTCTCTAGGACAGCAGGGAACACCTGCACTTCAGAATATCTTGTTTGGGCACTGCTTCAGTACTAACTTTATTCCTTTTTCCTTTGCAGGAAGCACAGCTCTTGTTTGGATTATTGTGATTATTTTGGTTCTTGGTGGCATTTCGCTGTTCTTCGTAATTAGAAAGCTGAATAGGGATAAAGGTAACTGCTTGATTACTAGCCATGAACTTCCTAGAATGCGGCAAAGCATGCATTAAGGCTATCCTTGGCTTTTGTGTTACCTTATAGGGGACCTGTTTAAGCACTATCTCATTTAGTATGTCATTCAATTAAGTAACTCCTGTATAATGGAGACTAGTTTTGTTCAGTTAATAAAATGCATAAACTTTAACTATGAGCTTTCCTACTTTGCTGACATATACCTTTGTTTCAAAGCAGGATTAGCATAAGGCCCTTAAAAGGGCTTTTTCTATCTACTTGCATTGTATTGGCAAAGCATGAGAAAAACCTGTGTGTAAGCTCAGACGTGTGGGGCAAGAAGTAGCAACTAATTAGATCATTAACTACTTTCATTCACTGTGTTTGGCTGTGGAGACTTTTTCTACAAATTGTTGCCCTTTCATCATTTGAGCCTCTTAACATGAATGTTAGGCTGAAAAATCCTGTGTGAATTAATTTTATTTTTTAATGGGAATGGAGATGTCTTCCTGAGAAACTTTTATTTCTGCTACTACATATTAAAGTAGTTTAGTTAGAATAATGTTGAAAATTAGTCTGAATTTTAACTGTTAATTTTGTTCAAATCATGGCTTACTGGTTGTATTGCAATAAACTTCTGCCTTCTCTTTATATTGCAATAGCCCACAAAAATGCTAAGAAGCATAATCAAGAGCGGGGGAGGTTGAAAGAGTGGCTTCAAAGCCTAACTGCATCTTGTGGTCTGTACTTTACTAAGCAGGACTCTTCATCCCCTGTATGAAGGCATAGTATTTGTGCTGTTGGTGGAAGCTAGGGGTGGTACTCTCATGGAACATATGACAGGTCAAAGAAAGAAATGGCTTGTATTAGAGCTTTGGTTTGTGTTATGAATGTGTCAACTGCATATAAATCTTGTGTGAATTCAGCTATGTTTAAGTTGCTGCAATCCCTAAAAGTTTCTTAGACCTCTATCTTGTTTTCCAGCTGCTTCAACTGATACTGATGCAGAGAAGGGTCTGGTAAGTATGGGCTGGATCAAGCGTTTCATCTCGGTTTTGTGCATCTTACTTGTGCACTGCTTAATTGTACCTGATACACAGCTCTCAGTTTTTGTCTCGCTGTAGACTGCTGGTAGGATGCATTCCTGTGATGCAACAAGGGCCAGATGTTAACAAGGGCCTGATGCATTCATTAGCTGCATGTTTCCACTGCAGTTGGTCTTTCCAGCACTTCCCTTGGAAATGTTCCAGAGCCTATGGCCAGGATATTTTGAAAGTATGGAAAAAATCAGGTTAAGTGCAAGCTTTCGCTTCAAACTGTCTCTAAGTGATGCCTTGATCCAATTAGTTCTTTGCCATTTCATGCATGTATTCCCCAGGCAAGGACAGCTATTGCTTCCCTGCATGGTGGTGGCCTAGCTTTCCTTACATTTTGACTGCAATGTTACGTGTTCATAAGACTGACTTCTCTTTATCTAGCAAAGTGACCGAGCCTTCCTGCCTTTTGGCTTATGTTACGAGCTACAGACTAGGACCTTGCAGTCTAACATCTTGGTCCTAGACAGTCCCATAAGACAAGGGGTTCAGGGTTCGGAGCACACCAGTTCAGAAGTACATCCTTGAAAAGGGTTTACCAAGCTGAGGCTGGCTGCTGGCATACATTCCACTTTAAAGCTAGGCTCACCCTGGCCTCCTGTAGTCAAACACTATTTCAGAATCTTACTGTTTTGGTCTACAAAGATTATTGTGAGTCCAGCATTTTGCAAGATAAATACAAGACTAGCTTGTATTTAGCTAGTCTAGCTTTAGCTTCTCTATTTGGAAGCTATACTCCTAACAACACAGCAAGGCACAATTGAGCTCAACCTTCACTAGTACAGTTAATGATGCATAACATCAAGCTGTAAAACATATGTTTGTCTTGATCAGGATCTAAGAAAAAGCACCCAGATTTCTCTCATAGCAGCACCTTTTTCTCCCTGCTGCCTTTCTTGTACCCCACCCAATGCACATGCTATCCACCTGGCATGTAAGCTCTTGTCTAATCTTACTAGTTAGATATTTCAAGTAATTAAATGCATCTTAATTATGTCACAAATACTTGAAGACTGAAGAAACAGAATGAAAAGACTTGTTAAAAACATTGTTAAACTCTTTTTTTCTTTTTTTAAGGTCCATAAGTGGCTCAAATATGTGAATCACCCATGGGTTTTTCTTGGGTTGTGTCTCCCCCCACGCACTGGCCAGATTCGCAGCGCTTCGTGTATTCGTAGAAGCTGATGAAACATGACAGAAAAATTTGTCAAAATGCTGTAGAACAGGAATAGGAAAATAGAACATCTCTGTTTTGAACAAAACGGTGGTAGAATTAGATCACAAATTGGTACATAGTGACACTTAGCTCTGTAAGAGTTGTCACAGACTTGAGTTGCAACATCTGCACGCTTGGAATGCTCATGCTACTGTAACAAAATGCTTATTTGCTAAGGAGAGTGACACTACTGTTGTCCTGAGACCAGGTGTTCTGGCAGCAACACATTGTCCTTTCCAAGGTACCAGTGAATTTATACTGCTGTAAAAAAGAAAAAATAAAAAAATACTGCTGATACTTTTATTTCATTCCAAAATAGAGCAGCAGCTATTAGTCAGCCATGCTGTGTACCTTCAGTTGCTCAGTTACCTATTTAAGAATGATTCTGTATAAATAGGATCAACTTGTTTAACCTGTTCACACCCTTAAACAGAAAGTGGATTCAATGAGGATGATGTTTGACTACCTGTGTCGAGTGGTTCTCACAGCCGTGCTTATGCATATTGGTCACATGGTGGTGTCACATGTGGGTCACTGACCTTCTGCAAACAGAAATCACACTGGCATATGCTCACGGGGGGGAAGTGCACCTTAACAAACACAAGTCTCATTGGAAAAAGTCACTCCTTACCCTCATCTTCCCCCTTTAAAAAAGAAAAAAAAAAGTCCTAAGGCTTTTGAGTTTCAGCACTAGCTGATACGCTAAATAGATGCTGGTTTGCTTTATACTTGTACAGTTCTTGATGAGCTGGAGTTGATATTCCCTGTCATATGCTTGTTTAATGTATTGACAATGCTAAAAATGATGCAGCCCTCCTCACTCGCTTCCCTCTTTGCCCCCTCACAAAAGCTATGCAATGTGCACTGGTACCCACTGGCTTCTTTCAACTGATTCTAGTTTGTGAGTCTGTCAGAAAAACTAATCTGACCTCCCCAAAAACCCAAGCTAGTGCACTTACATGGAATGTCAATATGTTTTCACTGGCTATTACCAGCTTGGCAAAAGCTCTGAGAGTGTTAGCCTTGATATGATGATGGGCGTGAGGCCCCTGTTGCTGTTAAGTCAGCTCAGGTGCAGCAAGGCAATTTGATTACCTCCTGCCTCAGGAGAGGTGCATAGGTTCCATACTTAGAGAGGAGCAAGGAGCAACACATGCCAGTGAAAACATTAGGAAGAGTTTCCTGCGTTTGTTGAGAACGTAGCCTGTGAGCCTTACCGCACAGTCCAGTGGGAGCAGAACAGCCAGCGAAGCGGAGAGTTTAGGCTCTGAAGTCCAAGTTTATAAAGGCTGTAACTTTTGCATGTTTGTAACTTTGCCAAATTAGCAGCTTTCCTATTATTTCTCTGGCATCTGGTGACTTCAAGTATTATGTTTTCTTCTTCCAGACTATCCTTGAAGACCAACCTATGAAACAGGTCTTAAAATATGTTTTTATTCTGTACAGGAGTCTGAGGGCAGTACTGAAAGCCTCATTTTACCAGAAGCGGAGACACCTGCAAATAACGCAGCCAACCCAGAGGGTGAGAACCCTGGTGAGAGCCCAGAGGGCCAAGCACAAACCAACATTAACTTGGAAGTAAAAAACACATCACCAGAGCAAAACAATGTTGTGCTTTCCGAGCGGGGCATCATCCTGCATGGAGGCTGGAGGTGCCAAATGAAAAGGTGCTGGAGGAGGATTGCTGAATCTTCGCTACCAGCAAAAACTGGGCAGAATCCTGCTTTACATCAAAATGCCCCATCTAACGTACCAAGTGGTAGGATGGCAGCAAATTGTATGGTAAGCATCTGTGTGAAATTATCATAGTATTTTCTCTGATACACGTGTAATTTCAGTTGAGTTCTTAACTATTCCTTGAGTGACAGGTGCTGTTTTCAGGAAGAATGATAGGGAAGAGGAGGCTTTCCTTAAAGATGTAATAGAAAGTATGGGAAGTGATATCTTGGGAAAGCAAATGTCAGTCCCTCATTTAATCTGCTCTGCCTCTCTCATCTCCCTGTTCAATATTTACACAGAAGCTGTGTTTTGCAATAGCAGCAAATGTGCTGCCTTGTTGCTTCACTTTGGATCTAGCAGCATGCTTGTTTCAGCATGCAATTTTCTTTACTCAAATACTTTCAGCTGTGCTGTGAAACCTGCCCCCCTTCCCCTTATTGGGATGTGTGCTGTGGAAGCAAAATATGGAATAGCTCAGGAATAATCGTGAGTGAAGCATGCTGCTATGTTGGAGTAACAGTCCAACTTTGTATTACAGGTACGAGAATCAAAGTGTCGAATAATTGTTAAAGATCTCTCTCAAAAAGGTAAGTATTCCATAAATTGTCAGTACTTGGATTTTGTTTTTTTTTCCTGTTTACTTTAGTCTACTTAAGGAATAGTATAGGGAGGCTGATGAATATTGCTTAAAGCTATAAGGCTTTCAGTTCATTGCAAAATATGCTGAAACAGGATTAGTACTATATTTGAGAGAAGCTGTAATCCCTGTGCTGAATTGCTCTACTTTAAAATGTGGCTTTTCTGCACAGGAGTATAGTGCAGCCATGCTTTTAAGAATAAGAATGGTACAACATTTTTTGTATGTTTTAAACAAGTCTGCACTGCAGCAGTCTACCTTAGTGAGCGAGATGTAGGTCACAGCAGGAGATCTTTCTGTCAAATGTCTGCTCACATGGAAGACTGCATCAAATCCCCATATATCTGCCTGTACCCAGAAAGTTGATGTGCTGGATGGCCAAGTGACGGGTTTTGCTCATGCTATTCTTGGCATGGCAAACCTATACCAGTAGCACAGTGAAGTGGTTAAAGCCTGCTGTTGAGTAGCCCTATTACTCTTAAGTGAAGACGTGCAGGCCTATGAACCTTTACTAAATAGTGTCTCATCTTAAGAGACAACTTTTGAAATATGTAGACTGGTACCTTTAGCTTCTTTCAAGATCACTCAGTTGGAACCCTATTTGTCCTACTGCTTCTTAGGTGCCAAGCCTGGCATTGCTGCTGCTTTTTGATCTGTGCATGTATTGGCTGAAAATTAATGGGAAAGAATGTACGTTAGCTATGAAAAAAAAATCTGTATTTTAGAAACTAAGCTGATATGTGTTGTGTGGGTTTTTTTCTTTCAGAACTGAGATACACCTTTTTGACCTTTATAAAGGAAGTACCACCAAAAAAATGGAAGCAGCTTATGAGAACTCATCTGCAGGAAAATGATATTGTTAAAATTATTCATGACTTTCCTAATGATATAGAAGAGCAATCTTATCAGATGCTTCTCACGTGGAAAAACACACTGGGAGAGAAACAATCTATTATTAAGTTACTGGATGAGTTAAGGTATCTAGATACCAAAAATTATAATAATGTATTGAACACTTTAAAAAGTAATAACATTATAAATAAATGGGAAGCTGCAGATTAATGTTTATGATGAACTTCAAAAATGCTCCTGTGTACATACGTCAACAAACTTCCTGTAAATGAGGACATCGACAAACTGCTAGTAAAAGTGATGGCATGGACTTTATATCCTCCTCACCTTCACGTGGAGAGCTGGAAGTGATTTAACACCATTGGTGTTAACATGGACTCCGGTTGTGATGTTCACTAAGGTCTTTTTGAGTTGTGCGATATTAAACGCAGGTGTCAGATGCCAGCTTGAGGGCGAGGAGCGCCAGCTTGCGCTTCCCTTCACATGAGGTGGGACCGTGCTGTTCAAGCTCGGGGGGTGGGAACGAAGAGGCTGCTGCTGTTTTTGAGAGGATTGCAATGCTTTTGGTTTCCAAAATGATTGTGTTTTCTATCGGTATGCTCAGAACCGTTATGTTTGAAGCACGGCAATAAAAGCCCAGTTGAGCCAGAAGCTGGAGTTGACTCTTGGACCTTCTTGTCTGAGGGTGGGAGGTGGTGTGGGGGCAGCCCGGCTGTGGTAAACCCCTGTGACACAACGGCCGCTGCTGAGGCGA